CTGGTCCAATCCCGCTCTCCTCGTAACCTACTCTCATCATAAACGGGCCCAGTAGCACGTAAAGTCGTAGGAGAGAGGTTTGAAGAGCCACTTTGTGCTAGAGCAGCGGAAGAGTCATAAAAGGGAGGATTCGGTTGAGGAATCACTGCTTTCTGTGAAAGTGTAGTGATACGGCCAAACGATGGGTCTAACTCTTGCTTGATTATAGCGCCAAAGTCTAGATAAACCAAAACGTGAATGCGTGAGTGACATGCAGAAGACAATCGACCATACCAGGGTGGAAAAAGCTTGTGTGATCACGGATGGGATCGAATTTTTTGTTCAAATATGTACGAAGTTTTTCTCTGTCGTATCTGAAGCTCTCAAGTTCCTGGGGCTCCACTATATGATCCAGCACACGATCCATCATTTCCTGAGGACTGAGTTGGCATCGAGCGACAAGGTAAAGATTCTTCCAGATCAAAGTTTCTATCTCCCGCAGTGAAGCAGGCTTGATGTCGCCGAGGCTCAGCATGAACTATAAGACACTAGTCAGTAATCATTGCACTCCGATAGAGAAGCATTAGAGCTTACAGAAATGTAGAAGTGCCTTCCAAAGCGAGACGAATGGAGGAGGCAAGTCCTGAATAATAGAATGGGGGAAATGGCAAGAGAAGAAAAGAGTGGTGCTTGAAATGCCACCAGAGAAATATTTAGGTTAGTCAGAATGTTGGAAAACTTGTCATCCGATTGAAAACTAGAAGACGGAGTGAGACAAGGTACAGTCAATGAAGTAGAACATATGCTGCATTCCGTAAGCATTCCTCAAGTTTTGCAGGGAACTCCTCATCCATGGGTATATCTATGACGCCCTGCGGAATAAAACGTCATGACTAGGAAATTGATGGACAAGGAAATTGACAGACCAGAGACATTATGCTGAGATATGATGCTGCTAGTTGGATATTATTCAGGATGTTTCCATGATATTTGGATCTGAAGGTCTCGCTGAGATTCCGTAAGTTTTTGGCAACAGATGCAGCAACTGTTTGTGGCACGCTGTGAGAAGATGATAGTGTCTCGGTACTGGGAGCGGGAGGAGGCGCAGAAGTTCGTGCATTCCAACGAGCAACAATAGCATCTTCGAAAATTTTTGGCCAGCCCTGATTTTCAGTTAAGAAAGATGCCTAGAAAATGTTTGATGATGATGCTAAGGTTGAGAAAAGATAGATTCTTACAATTCTGTTCATGGCCCCCCGTAACGGAGGTGACATGACCGATTCGAGGGATTGTACCTTCAACATTGGAAGAGCCAGACAGAACATTAAAAAGTTTAAAGCCAAGAATTGGCCCGATGTAAGAGTTCCAGGTGCTTGTTTCGGTTTTCACGGGATTTGCTTCTTCCAATAGCTTTTGCCATGACTTATCGGGCTGAAGCTGTTTCTGTTTCTTCGAGCAATATTGGTTCAGTGATCCTAGAAAAAACTGGCCAAAAGACTAGTTTGTTGGAGGATCATTCATATAAAGCAAATCACGTACAAACAGCTCATCCTTTGGACATATACTTTCCTGTTCACCATTGCTTGGAAAAACCGTCAACGCCCCTTTAAGAAGATTTGACAGATAAAACTGCGCTAGTGGCTAAACAAAATGATATGTAGGCAAAAATAAAAATAAAGTTAAGGCACACACCTGAAGCATCGGCAATGGAAACTTGCAACATCTTGGTGTCTTGGGACCAGGTAGAGTAGACTCACGTGCTCGTTAGAACAATGCTTGTTCATGTTTGGCCTTCCAAAGATGACTCCACTTAAGTCAAATGTGCGTGGCGCACGCGCTACAATTCCCCATATGGATATTCTGAACTGAAAATTAGGGCACGCACAGAATATCATGTCAAATCCCCGTAAGGATGGTCTCATAAGGTGATCATGATCTCTACAGAACTCGGAATGTCTTGTTCAGCTTCGAGATTAAGTCCTAGTGCTAAGTGGAACAATACCTTTTTGGTCTGACTTTTCTTGCATTCTCAAGAGGATGAAGCATAATTTTCTAGGTAAAGCCATTACTCCTCAAGTGAAAATGACAGCTCCTTGCACCTATGCTTCCATCCTTGTTATTGGGGTGGTATTTGGCAGCTCGGCACTGAGCGGCAGTAGTACCCTTTCAATATCTACGCATATTAAGAGTATCATTTAGCTAGATCATAGATAAGTCAAACCCAAGTATTAGAGACTACAGTCATCCAAAATTTCTTGTGCTAATCTGAGACGTTTCCCAATCATGTCACTAGAGAACTTCCAGCGCGGTGATACACAATCGTTCTGCACTGTGCCAAACTGAAGAACGTGCTGTAAATGCCACAGTACGTGCACTCCGCAATCAAAGCAGTTCGGCTGAAAGGGTACCTGAAGCAGTATTCCAAATCAGCAACTATGTTCCGGAAGAAAGAAGAAAACATACTTCTACGTGAGGATCGCATTGCCACTCAGTGGCGAAATCATTCATGAGCTGAACTTCCTCCCCTCTTATTCTTCCAAGGACCTCCGAAAGCCACATGAGGACCTATTTCTACATCAGTTACAATGGTAAAAGTTCGTGGGGCAACTTACAAGCATCAAGTTCGTATTCTTCCTTGATTCGACTGGTCTTCGTCGGTTAGCAAAATAAACCACAGCAAGACTATCATAGATTTCGATTCGTTTAGTCACAAAATTGATCAAAGCCAAATACCAATGAGTGTTGAATTCGTTTATGGGGATGAACACACAATCCCATTTCACAAGTCCCTGAGATTTCTATGCCATGAATCAGAGCAGTTTTACTATAGCCACAAAGCTATCTCACCTCCGCAGAATAGCACCATCTCTGTACAGTCTTCGAATCCTCCAAGGTTAAAACCCCATTTTGAATTTTGACGCGCGCACACAGCATTTCCATAAACCAAGTATTGAAGCCCAGAGTGCTCTGGGACTTCGAGCACCATTTCTCCACAAAGTAGTTGATGATTTCATCATCTAGCCATTGCCCTACTCCAAGAGTCTTGAAGCTTGCAGGTGATATATGGTGTAGCTTCACCTCGAAGGTCTTCGACAGCTGAATTCGTTTCAGGATTCAAGATTCATATGAAGGATACGTACAGGCATCATGATTGACCTCAGGATTTCCGCAGTCCCAGCGGGATGTAAATCCAATGTTTGGAAGAGTGTGCACTCAGTATTGGCCTTCAGCTCGAGGGTATATTTCCATACACGTTGAAGATTGAGAACAATCATGAGAACGGTTCCATCCGATGGTGGGGTCTCATGGCGGGTAATGCAAAGCCTGATGTTCTTCTCGATTATACGGAAGAAATCAGCAATCCGGCACAACTCCTTGACATAGAGCTGGAAGGAATGATAAACCTGTGGGTCACCTTGGTTTGGTAGAGAATTGAATTCCTGAGCAATGATTGCCTCAGGCATCTCCGACATGGCCAAGACATCGAGAGGCAAGTGGAGTTGAGAGTCTGAAATAAAAGATAAGAGTCTGTTCAGATATTTTGCAGTGCAGCTCCTCGTCTTTCCAAGAAAATCATAGTCGACCAGCAAGCACTGCCAATGTTTATCCATCAGGAAGAGCACAAATCTAGCTGGAGGTTTCAGTGAGAGCCCACACATTCCCAGGAAAATACGCACACTAAACTTCTACGCGTTGGAAGTTTATGACAATAATCAAACAGCAGTAGGTGTGAGTTAAAGCTTGTAACTCTTGGAAACTGATCAATGACTCGATTCTCAAATCGAGTCAGAACTTGTGCAATAAAAATACCTAAAGCTTCTGGGCGCCAAGTTAAACACATTCCCCTTCACAAATGAAGAAAAGCATCTCATTACCGCCTGGACTACATTGCAAAAAAACAGGAGGAAAAGGTCAGTTGTCTTCTGGCATTGAGTCATGTTTCTGCCTATGAACATCTTCAGCCAACAGACCTCCGCCGAAAGCACCGTCATATGCCCAAGCATATTCACTTTGCACGAAGGCTGAAGCCACGTTCCAGGAAGCCTTGCGTGTTGACAAAGTTGAACCTGAACTTGGAAGTAGTGAAATTTACTGGAGAATGGCAGGTTGATGGTAAGTCTTTATCATCTGCTCACACAGTCAGTCACTCATCCACTAAATAGAGATACCAACCGTACCTAACACACCTGAAAGAGAGGAAAAATGGCCTTACAGCAACAGGCATTTATTGCGTCAACCAGCGTACTTGGATATGGAAGATTGGTTCAAAAAAGACAACGACTCGGATGGCCTGGAATGAAATAATACCTTATGGGTACAGGCAAACAGAGAGCTTTGGAAAGCAAGAGGGCGAAGTGGTACGCCCTGGGTTGATTTGCCCAAATTTCGCCTATGAAAGTTTACTGAACTGAATAGATAAGTAATGGCATTAGCTGTAAAAATAGCTCTACGTAGATATGAGTAGCTTATTTCCTGGATCCAAGAGCATCTCTCGACGCTACTAAGCAAGGCCTCAAGCCTATGAGCCAGACAGTAGTTATATACAAAGATATGGTGCTGTGGGTAACGGTTAACCTTAGGCTTCACCACGATTTCCGCTGCATACGCATATTCTGTAGCCTAGCTGCAAGTTCGAATCTCGCCAGCGCCATATGAAATCTGCAAAGATGTCTTTTTTAATTTAATTATTATTTTACACATCTTGAGTTAATCTTGACAGGCTCATGGCACATTTTGGCTGGACGCAGTAAATTCGATTAGTAGTGGAATGGACTCGGGCTTGAAGCGTGGGGGTTGTGAAACGGACGCGAGTGCATGGCTCGCGGATGATACATCGGAGTAGTATGTGCTGCCTGAGGTTTAAAATCGAGTCGATCCAGAGGGAAGATAAAGGGGAATGGGTAGACAGTGGTAATCAGACAGCACAAAATCCAATGAAGAATATCAATCTTTAGGTGCATCAATATTTCACTTCTGCAAGCCTTTGATTGAGAGTTTGTCAATAAATCTATTTTATGCATGGTGCTGTGGGGTAACGGTTAACCTTAGGCTATATAAGTTATCAACAATTTCCACGTATGCATATTGTGTAGCCTAGTTGCGAGTTCGAATCTTGCCAGCGCCAGCACCATATGAAATCTGCATAGATGTCTTTTTTAATTTTATTATTATTTTACGCATCTTGAGTTAATCTTGACGCACATGGCACATTTTGGCTGGACGCGGTAAATTCAATTAGTAGTGGAATGGACTCGGGCTTGAAGCATGGGGGTTGTGAAACGGATGCGAGCGCATGGCTCGCGGATGATACATCGGAGTAGTATGTGCTCGAAAGGTTGATTTAAGTTCAAGCATCATTTTAACCTCCAGCTCGAGTATCAGAACGTTGAGGCCAAGCTTTTGCCTCAGCTTCCACGCAATTCAAATCCTTGGGGTTGCTCCTTGCGCATAGTTGTTTCAATGAAATCCCTGGACAAGTGCTCAGCTCTCTTTGTTTGAGCGACAGACATTCTTTGAATGTCCAAGGACCCCGCTTGCCGTTTGAATCTTTTGCCATTTCGTCAATGACAAGTTGTTGCTTATCAAGCTCAGGCATAGGGATAATTCTATTAGACAACCCTGTTGATTGAAAACAACCCTTCTGAAGCTCTTTGACCATTTTGCGTGCCTGTCACGCCGGAGTTTGCCCGAAACACGTCTCCTTCACTCTTGCTGGCAGTTGCCACGTTGCGTAGTTCTCATCCTTTCGGATTCATCCCCATAGCTGCTGCCGCCCCCTCAGGTTTCAACCTTATGAGCATACTCTTCTGTGACTCTAGTACCTTAGCCTCTTGATTGATAAATAATCACCTAGGACACTCAAAACACTCAGTTCATATTGCACAAAGGATTTTGGAGATGAGATTGCACTCCACAGAGTAAACAGCCGGTGCCGGGTGCATATCTCACTCTTCAGAGTTCCTTTACCTTCTCAAATCACTTCCTAGCTTGCAACTTTCCTTATACCTCTGAAACCTCATAGCTCTTACCTTGTTTAACCCACCAGCATCAAGAAACTCTTGTTGTTCGTTGTGTCACGATCAGTCTTGCCAACAACATGTAATTGCAGTAATTCTTGCACCAGTATGGCTTTTTTATTGCTACACACAGCCAGTACATTGCTCATGACCGACTTGTCTCAATTTCGATGAATTTGTGACCCGTTAGGACTCCGGTGTGACAGCTGGTGCTACGGCCATCGCGGAAGGGTTGTTTCGGGGTTGTTTCGAGGTTGTTTTCAGTCAACAGGGTTGTTTAATAGAATTATCCCGGGCATAGTTTGAGTTGTACACGACTCCCTTCGATATCCCAGTGACTTTTATGGTGTGTCACAGATGAAGCGCTATCATACGGACTCATTGAATAACCCAAAAGAATTTACACCAGTGATTTACCTGAGAATAATATTATGATCAGCCTTCAGCAGCTGGGATATGGTGTCCTTGTTCGTGATATTGCGTCTGTGGTATTCTAGCAAGGCAGCATGGACCTCTGTATCGCCAATGGGGGCTTCAATGCAAAAAAAAAAAAAAAAAAAAAAAGGTAAACCGCCATGGGATGCAAGAGCTCATAAATCACTTATCTTTGTGATAATCATATGCTTATTCAAATATGTATACAATATCCCTATCACCGATCAGACCCCCATTGCCGTATCCAGCTTGACCAGCTGATACCAAATTCCAACAAGCTGCTGACTCCGGCAGCCTCGCTTAGCATCCCTCCTGCATGGCGCACTCCATTAATTGACCATCCTCTTATTTTTCATTGTTACGGTAAGTCATCCACTGGTGTAAAGGAAATGAGCATGTTGCGTTATGCATGCCGGTTGAGTCGGATCGTAAGCACCACATCTGCTTTTAGCCGAGATATTTTCCTTAAGGGGAGTCGCTTCACATAAGTATCGAATCGAGCCTGTACATTGTGCCTGTGTTTTTCTTAATATCCGATCGTGATCCGCTGGAAGACCCGTGAGAGAGTTAGCGCCAAGACAACTCTTCTCCCTCTCCCATGGCAGACTCTCAGCAATCGCCTGCACCCCTCACTGACAGTCTCCGGTCGGATGTTCTTCTTCTTTCTACTCAACTTAGCGGCAAGCAGAGCACCTCTTCTGAATCTCACCCAACGGATATGGAATTGTCGCTTTTTGTTGACATCTCCACCCTTCTTGCTATTGGCCATAGTCATAGTCCTGATGCGAAGAATGTGAATGCAGTTTTGGGAAAAATTACCCTGACTGGGACTGAGAACTCGCTATGGAATTCCTTGTCTGTGCTGAAAATGCCAAACAGGATGACACTCAGGTCAGAGCGCTCAAAGGACAGCTCAAAAACAAACCTCCACAGGGTAGAAAGGAGAAGGACATGGACGCACCGAGTGCACCAATAGCGGGGAAGAACAAAGAGCAGTCTGCCAAGAGCGCAGAGGATATTGTGCATTTGGACGTTATAATCCCAATGGCAGAGAATGGCAGGAAGCTACTCGATAAGTGGGATGATAAGCAGGAACCAAACAAAGAGAGTGTGCAAAGCAACAAGTGGGTTTACATCTATCTATTGAATGGCTGACTTACATGACTCTCAGTGACTTTCCCTTCGGAGCGCACCTTCAAGATTTGTTTGACGTGATTGCCTCCCTAAGGCGCCCGGAAAGTTCAGACCAGTCGAGCGATTTGTTGCCTTTCCAACTCTTCATTCATCACCGCGCTTATCGAAAACTTGGCTGGCGAGTGCTACTGTTTTCCACACACTGGGGTAAATCACCATTCGATATCATTTCCGACTGCCTACCAGACCCCAATTTGAAATCGGAATCCTTCCAATTCCCAGGTGGGAGTTCGCCCTTCCATGACACACTCGCGCGCTACGTGCCCCCGGAGTCGACTCAATCAGGAGATGTTTATCTGGTCAATTCTAACAATGCCGCCCGATGGCTTGCATTGTTCAAGAGCGCCTGGGCTAAACTGCAGTCACATCTGTTGGTCAAAGAGTCCGACGGGAAAAATCCTAAGGTTAGGACAGACTCACCAAGCGCTGAGTCAGGTCAGGCGTATAGTTGCTATAATGGTGACTTTGGAACGCCTGATAGATGTCTTTAAACATCTTTTATCTGCTAATGGGGTTGCTCAAGCTTTAGCTAAAGCTGGTAAGTTGGAGAGTCTTTACACTTTTGATTGTTGCGCTCATGCTTTTCCAGAGCTCGCACAGTATCATAACCGTGTTCAGAGTCCAATAGAACCAAATACCGCAATCAGTGAAAATGATGAAGATGATGACGATGAGTTAGAGTTGCCTAGCCAGAGCACTGACTGTGAGTCTTGTCACTTATAGCATTCTTGACTATGTGCTACATCTATCCTCCAGTTTTCAACCTTATCCAAAACCCGCAACAAGCAGTTGTGCGTCTTCTACAAGGTCTGAAAACTGTCTTGGCATGGCAAACCTCCTCCAGGCATATTCACCAAAAAGCAACATATTTCGGACAACTAGTTGACGGAAAACTAGTTAAATTTCGTCTCTCCCGATTTTGCTACCATAAGGATGTATTGCAATCTACTGCATTTGATGTCGACGCAGTGTTGCCTTTGCTTCGAGAATGGCAGGCACCCTCGGACAATCCTTACACGCGCCAGCAAGCTGAGAGCATCATCCACCGAACTTTGAATGCAAAGGTTCATGCTGAAGCGGCGCTCATGGACTGGATCACTACGTTGAAAGAGGTGGGACTTCTAATCTTCCATGTTGAGTTTAACTATCATCAGACTCATATTTCCCGCTCTAGGGCGATAATACACATCAGGATTGGCCCATTGGCGTTAGCAAGAAATGCTGCCAATTATGTTGGTCACTCCATAATAAGTACAAGTCAAAAGGATTCAAATTCGTACTACCAGGTACTCATGGTACCTTCTATCCTTGGCTTCCTCCCCCTGGGATCCCTGACAGTATTTTGCTTGAACTTCGAAATGAGTTGCTTGCTGCATGCAAGACAATGGTTGCAGGTCATTCCAGACACAGCTCTGCTAGCTCCGCCACAAGTCATGTGGATACTGATTTGCACCATTGGGAAACAGCTTTCAACAGATATATGATGAATGCGCTGAACAATAGGCTACTGGGATTGGGGCATGTGTAAAGTTCGTAGATAGGATGGACATTTTTTGTTGTATCACTATATTCTTAACATCTTTTATTTAATAATATTGATTCCCAAGAACTCCACATTTGCTCACATGATATGAGACTAAGACTAGCTCACCAATCTTGAATTTTATACATAATATAACAAGTTGTGAAAAAGTGGGGCAGTGAGCAGTCGCATAAGGTAGAAGGGCTTACAAAATTCTCAGCTACGGCGGCACATGGTACCAGCAGTTGAAACCAAACACGAGCAAGCATCGTTGCAACGAGCAGGTGACGCTGCCCTTTGGCTCCGGCCCGGGATGCCATAGGCTGAACTTCGCGATGCCGAGAGTCAACCATAATATTAACCATTGTTGTCGACATCATCATCTCCGCCGTTGGTAACAGTGTCTTCTTTAGCCGTCTGCGCACTCAGGACAGCTTTGCAAATTTCCTCATCGGTGCTTTCATCAGCTGTGACCATGATCTTCTCGCTTTCCGGGTTTAACAGCGAGTCCCTCACCCAACCCGAAACAAGTGGCTGAGTCAATTGAAGATTCGGATAGATGGGGTCAAAATGACGAGCACAGTCTTTGATTGGTTTTTACCATTGGCATAATGCCAATTAAGGATTTCGATATGCTATGCAACAGTTATGCTTTTTTGTGAAAATGGGTTTTTCTGGTGGTTTAATCTGACTTTTCTTTGTAGTTGTCAAAGAATAAGGCTCTTTGGCATTTGGACCTGTACATACAAATTATGAAGAGAGAAAATCCCATTGGAAAATGAACTTACGCTTTCGTTTGTTGCCTACAACTTTAGGAGCACCTCTGGCAAGTTCTGTAAGACGCTTTAGAATGCCTTTCTTCCTTTCATCCAGCTGTCCCAAGCCATGTTTGTAGTCCATGGCATTCTCCAGCTCGGAAATGAACTGCTCCCCGCCAACAAGATTACCTTCTTGATC